ATAGAGACAGTTTTTATACCTTTACCTCACTGTGAGTTGACTGCTGGCTTCACTCTTAGACGATCTCATTTTAAAATTTTGTGTTGCTTCATATTTACCTGAAATTCACCAGTAACGCTTTTGTGTTGTCCAGAACATGTATAAATTAATTGTACTTGTTGTTACCTTCTTCATTAAAGGTTTTGTACTTCACTATTGGAATGAACTCCATGGTGATTGATTACTAAGGTTTTTAAAACAGAATTTTTTGTGCCTTGGATTTATATAATTTTTTTTTTAATTTAAGGTACCTAGAATATCCGATGCATACCCGTAAACAAAAGGAAAATCCTATTGCCGTGTCCTCTAAATATTTTAGAGCACACAAGTCTGGTCAGTGTTCTCCATGGGTACCTTGATTTTCTCCTGTATAACTGTGTTGCTAATAAATTCCTAATAAACCTTGCATTTTTTTCAGATTTGAATTGCTTTGTTAAATGTTGGTTGCTCACATTTTAAAATTATCTTGATTTTTTTTTTTTTATGTTTGGCCAAGTCATGCTGCTTTCACAGAACCGCCAAGGAAAAGAGTTTAGTATGCTTCTTTTAAACTATAACTAAATTGGACAAAGTGCCTGAAAGACTGGAAAAACATGACCTAGTGAGTGAGTCCCTTTCATCCAGAGTGGGGAACCAGTGTGTTAGCTGAGCTCCAACCTAAATAAAACCCAATTCGAGCAGTAATAAAGGCAGTTGCTTACCCATAATTTAATATTTTTGTGCATATTTGGTTCTGTCATTGTGTTTTTAGAGAGGAAATTATATTTTCTGATCCTGTGATCTATAAGTTTCTAACTACAATTAAAAGCCTAAACGTTTAATGCTACCAGAACACACTCGCTTCGCAAGATCCTTCCTCAGGTTTTGAAACATGTTCTCGAAGCTTTAAAACTTTCTAGGTAGAAGGTAGGTTTGAGATTAAAGTGAGACACTCATGCCATGTGTCCAATCCTGAAAAGATCAGCTGAGTGTTCAGTGGATGATGGGATTTAAGAGAGTGACCTTTACTTTGAATGCTGTGCCCATAAACAAAAATAGTAAAAGAGGAAGGCAAGGGACTGGTCAGCTATATTGTCAGCTCCCTGGAGCTCATGTTTCCAGGGACCAATTTACTATGCTTTTCTCACGCTGTCTGTGTTGTGGAGTTGGCCATCTTGTTAGAGGCAGGCCTTTGTTTCCTGTTTGGCAGACCTATTCTGCTTGACTGGTGGGTAAGGATCAAAAAGCAGAAGGAAAGATGAAAGAAGCACAGATCCGCAGAATTGGAAGATACTTGCACTGCATGTCCCTTAGGTACAACTTATGATTAGGCAGGCACTCAGAATGAGTAGCACAGTAGTGACATTTGCTATAAACCCAGTCAGTTAGAGTAGAATAAATAAAATAGAAGAAATAGGTAGATTATTCAGGTTACTGTGTTCCATCTTTAGCTTTATCGAATTTCCCTGTAAGACAGGGACCCCCATTGGGTTCAATAGACCCCAATGTCTCCATTAAGAGGAGACCCCACAAGGGGGCTTTTTAGCCCAAACTTGTAATGGCAAGTAAAAAAATGTATAAAATAAATAAATTTTAAAAAGTGAAAGCACCCCCATTAGTACCACATATAAAAAAAATGAGGCGTAGTGCCAGCATGTGTATGTAAACAATCATGCCAAGCATGTGAAATTATCGTCGTGAATGTCGGACTGAGAGCAATAATTCCATAACCACAGTTAACTCTAAACTGAGGACCTATAAAGGCATTTGAAGTATCACCTATGGAGATTTTTGGGGTACCATAGATTTTGGTGTTTTCATGGGTGTGAACAAATTTAAAACTTGACATGTTTGGTATCTATTTACTTGACACAGCTCCATGTATTTATATTTTATCAAAAGTTGAGTATATAATATTGTGGTTTTTGTTTTTGTTTTTTTTTTTGCATTAAAATTCATTTTAGTGTGTTTTGTCATGAAAATATGCATTTGATAACTGCGCAAATATTGTGTGAGATAAAAAAATATAACTTCCCAAAAATCAAAGATCTCTTTCTTGCAACAACAGAAACCATAGTCATTTTGGGAGCTCCCTACCTCTGTAACTGGCTTGCTACCTCTCCTAAAGAAAAAAAAAAAAAAACTGCAGAGTTTGAGGTCACTCAAACCCATTGTCAGAAAGAATTGCCATCTCCTTCTATGTTTTTTGGATAGTTGTAGTGAAGGTGGGGCGAGCTCCGGCAACAGATTTGAGTTGGTCTGATTTTTGTGTACACTGGCTCCCTTGAGGGAACTTAACAAGTATTTTGACCTTCTGGTGAGATATTTTTTTTTTTATTTACATTGCAGAAGGTTAAAAGACTGCAATGAAGGCTTCCTACATTTTTGTTTGTATTCTTCTATATTATGTATGATCTGAATATCTGCTGGGTGCCAGGATGAATGAACTCTTGCGCACATGCATAGGAGTTGCCTAACCCTGAATTGCCAATTAAGATGGCCGAAGATGTTGAACCCTGAAGAAGCCTGGAAGATTTTGATGCGACAAGAGAGCTCAATATGTATTTTTGCAGGTAACAAAATATGCATTTATTTATTTTTTATTTTAGAAGCCTGTAAAGCATTGCACCAGCGATCAGCAAATCGCTGGTGCCATGCAGGTCTCCTGCACACTGGCAGTTTATCTGCTTTCTCATACATCTTGTACAGGCAAGCCGATACTTGCTGACAGGAAGACTCAATGAACTATCACAGCTTTGCGGTATTTCATTGAAGGCTACAAGTTATCAGCCAGTAAGGTTCTCGGGTCTTGTAGTACATTCATTCACCAAACACACTGAACGAATGATGTGGCCGTGTGTGCGAAGCTCCGCATGGCAATGCTGTTTTTGAAAACTAACAGCTAGTATTGGGAACTTCTCCCATACTGCTGTTTACAGCTATTATTTTCTTACCAGTGGAAATACTTGCGCAAAAGACTACAATATATTTTCGCAAATATGTTAACAGAAGGATGCTGTTTAGGTTTGTGTTCTATGTTTCACCTTTCTCAACACTACATGCTCTTATGTAACAGTTACATTTTCAGTGATCCCTCTAAACATATGTCATTTTACAGTTCAAATGCAAAAATTGATTGTATTGTGTTTTACATAAATACCATGCTGTTAGAGGGAACGGTCTCTTTGGTCTCAGACGATTACATAGAAATGTGCTCCTTGTCTTTCCATACAAACAAAACTTTACAGACCTGAAGCTTACATCTAGCTACTCCAAACCGAATTCTATGGCTAGGCATACATGTAAAGTATATTATTCTATTGAAAATCATATTCTTGTTTTCCTTATTATTGAAATGAAATATTCCTGAAACATTTTCAATGAGCTGAACAATTGTATTTATAAGGGAAACCCGTGTTAAGAGAAAAGTATAGGGTGCCATTGCTGAACTACTATTGAAAATTGTTTTACTGAAATAAAGCTTTGAGACTTTCAACTGGTGACCTGGAACAAGTATGTAGCAAATGAGGTTGAAGTCAGAATTTATGATCAGCATAACAGCTCTATGCTACTAATCCAAAATGTATTGAAATCCGTGTTAACTTTACATCAGGCACTGATGTCGGACATGAAGGCCTGGCTCACAGTCTCCGCTCTAATTCATTCCAAAGGTGTTCTTTCAGGTTGAGGTCAGGACTCTGCATACCAATCAAGTTCCTCCACCCAAAACTCACTCATCCACATCTTTATTGACCTTGCTTTCTGTACTGGTGTGCAGTCATGTTGGAATAGCAAGGCACCATCCCTAAACTGTTTCCACAAATTTGGGAGCATGAAATTGTCTAAAATGTCTTGGTATGCTGACTCCTTAAGAGTTCCCTTCACTGGAACTAAGGGGCCAAGCCCAACCCATGAAAAACAACCCTACACCATAATCCCCTTCCACCAAACTTTACACTTGGCACAATGCAGATAGGCGAGTATCGTTCTGGCAACTGCCAAACTCAGATACGTCCATCAGATTGTCAGACAGAGAAGTGTGATTCGTCACTCCAGAGAACACGAAAATGAGTGAAGAGAATGAGAAAGAAAGAGGAGGAAGAGGAAAAATAACAGCACAGGAAACCAATAAAAAAAATAAAAGCTCTAGTCAATTTGTGGCTCTCTAAAGGTCAATATGGACTTAACCAGCCCAGTTCTTTTAATGTGACTTTGAGAGAGACAAGGGAAAAAACTGCAGTCTTTTTAATACCAGCATGATTTTTTTTATTTTTACATTTATCTTGGCTTAAATACAGCAGCAGTACCCCATACTGAGTTATTTTGACTTGGGGAAAAAAAGGCTTTTTGTTAGTTTTGGCTGCAAAACATTTTTTTTATCTAATGGCATTAGGCATGAATTGAAATTGGCCAGTGATACAAAAGTTTTTAATAGTATAGTTTTTGTGAGTGCACAAAACTACAACTCTGTTTGCTGAACCCCTTCCTATCTAATCATTCCCCAAAAATATAGATTTCAGGAGTGTTTGGTAGAAATTGGCTAGTGTCAGAACAGTAAGTGAGCATTTGAATAGGTAGAAAATAGAGACAAAGCAGGTTTTATTTTGGAGGAATAGTGTATTCTTTGAGCTAGAATTAGAGATGAGCGAATTATTCAAAAATTCGGTTCGGCTGATTCGCCGAATAAATTTGCTTCGAGCCGAATATATTCGCTGCGAATTTAACTTATAAAAAGGGTGTTTCTAGGCTTCAGAGAGCCTTTATATTAGTGCAGAACACTGTACCTTTAATTTAAATGCCCTTGGAGTCTGCTGGGGAAGAGAAATAATACTGTCAGTCAGTATGACATGCAGATGAGTGCCGTCGATCTTAGAATCACCGCACACTTCACTCATTTGGGCAGTCACGGGGCCAAAACCAGAGTGTGGAGCCACAGTGTGGCGGTGGAGGCAGCAGCAATGGGAGGGCCATACAGCACCCTATGACAAAATGGAACCCACCAGCAGTGTGAGGAGACCTGAAAGTGGCACATGGCAGAGTGTGGCGATGGAGACCGCAGCAATGGGAGGCCGTACAGGGACCCATGACACACTCTGGACCTGGCAGCAGCATGAGGAGGCGGTACAGGGGCCCATGACAGATTACGGGCCTGGCAGCAGCATGAGGAGTCGGTACGGGGGCCCATGGCAGATTACGGGCCTGGCAGCAGCATGAGGAGTCGGTACAGGGGCCCATGGCAGATTACGGGCCTGGCAGCAGCATGAGGAGGCGGTACAGGGGCCCATGGCAGAGTGGCGGAGCGTAAGCAGCTAAAATTGAAGGCCATACAGAGGCCTATGTTAAAAAGTCCCCCCAGCAGCAGCGTGGGGAGACGACTATCAAGAGTCCAATGGCAGAGTGGCGGAGCAGAAGCAGCTTCAATTGAAGGCCATACACAGGCCTAGGTTTAAAAGTCCCTCACAGTTAATTCCAATAACGAACTCTACTCCTCCGTGATCTACTTACGAGACCCTGGGCAGGTCTGGGTCCAATTTGTGGTAGAGACTGGTTTTGTTCAGCCATGCTTTAGCGAGTAATAACAGGTCTGTGCTGCCCTTTGGTGTCTGGCTTAATGCGCACAACACTGAACGTCCCAGCGTTTGTCAACGATTTGCCGTTAAGTGATGCAAACCCGCTGAACCACGTTCATGAGGAGCCGGTACAGGGGGCCATGAATCAGTATGGACCTGGCAGCAGCGTGAGCAGACGACAGAGGCACATGGCGCAGGGTGGCGGTGTAGGCAGCATTATTCTGAAGCCATACACAGGCCTAGGTTAAAAAGCGGAAGCCGTCAGCAGCGTGAGCAGACGACAGAGACACATGGCGCAGGGTGTGGTGGTGCAGCAGTATTCGGGCCAAACACAGGCCTCGGTTAAAAAGCGGAAGCCGTCAGCATGAGCAGGAAGGCATGGCGCATACAGCACATACAGCACCCTATCACAAAATGGAACCCACCAACAGTGTAAGGAGACCTGAAAGTGGCACATGGCAGAGTCTGGCGATGAAGTCAGCAGCAATGGGAGGCCGTACAGGGACCCATGACACACTCTGGACCTGGCAGCAGCAAGAGGAGGCGGTACAGGGGCCCATGGCAGAGTGGCGAAGCGTAAGCAGCTTAAATTGAAGGCCATACAGAGGCCTATGTTAAAAAGTCCCCCCAGCAGCAGTGTGGGGAGACGACTATCAAGAGTCCAATGGCAGAGTGGCGGAGCAGAAGCAGCTTCAATTGAAGGCCATACACAGGCCTAGGTTAAAAAGTCCCCCCAGCAGCAGCGTGGGGAGACGACTATCAAGAGTCCAATGGCAGAGTGGCGGAGCGGAAGCAGCTTCAATTGAAGGCCATACACAGGCCTAGGTTAAAAAGTCCCCCCAGCAGCAGTGTGGGGAGACGACTATCAAGAGTCCAATGGCTGAGTGGCGATCCGGGAAGTCAGCGTTGTGATTGCAGATGCAATGCAGAAATTCTATGAAGTAATGCCGTGGGTGCGAAGAAGATCATATACCGTCGTACTTCCATCCATAAGACGGAACAACCTGCGAACCGGGAGCTTTATTGCCCTGACCCGCTGAGCAGCTTCTGGGATACCCAAGAGTTTGGCTTCTGTGGGGAATATGGTTGAAAACTGAAACTTAAAGGCATGTTGACGGAAGGGCACCAGTGTCAGTGCTCCGGAGGGAATATAGCTTCAAAGCTGACACTTAAAGGTATATCGACGGTCAGAGACCACAGGAAGTGGAGCTTGCGTCTTAAATCGACTGAATGTGGCAGACGTGAAACGTCTACGGGCCGTATATGAAACGGGTTGTTCCTCTTTCTGGAATAAGTGTTGGAAATGGCCACTCTTTTTGGTGTGGCGTTTTGTCTATTTAATTCCGATAACGGACTCTACTCCTCCGTGCAATCTAGTTACGAGACCCTGGGCAGGTCTGGGTCCAATTTGTGGTAGAGACTGGTTTTGTTCAGCCATGCTTGAGCGAGTAATAACAGGTCTGTGCTGCCCTTTGGTGTCTGGCTTAATGCGCACAACACTGAACGTCCCAGCATTTGTCAACGATTTGCCGTTAAGTGATGCAAACCCGCTGAACCACGTTCATGAGGAGCCGGTACAGGGGGCCATGAATCAGTATGGACCTGGCAGCAGTGTGAGGAGACCCGAAAGTGGCACATGGCGCAGGGTGGCGGTGGAGGCAGCAGTATTCGGAAGACATACACAGGACTAGTTTAAAAAGCGGAAGCCGTCAGCAGCGTGAGCAGACGACAGAGGCACATGGCGCAGGGTGGCGGTGGAGGCAGCAGTATTCGGAAGCCATACACAGGCCTAGGTTAAAAAGCGGAAGCCGTCAGCAGCGTGAGCAGACGACAGAGGCACATGGGCGGGTGGCGGTGGAGGCAGCAGTATTCGGAAGCCATACACAGGCCTAGGTTTAAAACTGGAACCCAGCAGCGTGAGCAGACGACAAAGACGCACATGGCAGAGGATGGATCTGGCAGCAGTATGAGAAGGCGGTACAGGGGCCCGTGGCACAGTGGGTGATGGGGGCTACAGCAACTGGATGCCAGAAAGTGGCCGATAGGGCTATATACTGCATGGAATTATAAAGTTGTAAAGACAGCGGCCTATAAGGCTATACACACTATAACAATCATGACTTGATTGACCATTGGCCTATAAGGCTATACACAGCATGAATATCATGACTTATTCTGAGAGTGGTTTGGAAGGCTATATACAAAAAGTAATTCATGAGCTGTCCGGACAGCGGACAATAAGTACATATATACAAATCAATTCATCAGCTGTCCAGCCAGCGGCCTCAAAGGCGACACATATAGAAAGCAATTCATGAGCTGTTCAGACAGCGGCCTCTAAGGCGACAGATATACAAAGCAATTCCCGAGGTGTTCAGGGAGCGGCCTGAACGGCTAGGTTATTAAATATATTTTTGTGGCCAAACATCGGCCTATAAATAGATGTCTACACAGTGACAAAAAATTATGTCGCCAGACAGCGGCCCCTAAGGCGACAGATATACAAAGCAATTCCCGAGGTGTTCAGTGAGCGGCTTGAACGGCTAGGTTATTACTAAATATATCTTTCTGGCCAAACATCGGCCTATAAATAGATGTCTACACAGTGACAAAAAAGTAGGTCGCCTTACAGCGGCGTATCCTACAAATTGACATTTATAAGAAATGGTTTAGACCAAAAAAAAAAAAAAAAACTTTGATGCGATGCTATACCTTAGTAGATTGTGGAAAGTCGACAAGTCAAGCGTAACTGTGTACATTACAGAAAATCTTAACAAGACAACCAAACATGTGGCCAAACCGTGACCGATACAACAAGTTAACAATGTAAGAAACAGGAGGGGGCCAAACCGTGGCCAATAAATAAACAGTCCACCTCATTGATGAGATGGGAACACGTGTCAAATAAATATATTTAAAAAAATTGCTATTCCATCGGTCTGGAACTGGTCGACTATAAATAATTAAAAAGTTTAAATTCATGTGACAGTCGTCCAGCGACGTATAAATAATTTAAAAAAACACCAATTCATGAGGGGCCCGACCAGCAGAGTATAAGTCATTAAAAAGGTTCAATTCATGTGACGGTCGTCCAGCGAAGTATAAATAATTTAAAACCCCAATTCATGAGGGGCCCGACCTGCAGAGTATAAGTCATTAAAAATGTGCAAAACATGAGTCGGCCGACCAGCAGCCTCTCAATAAAAATATATATACAAATGTACGGATCAGGTGGAGGTCTTCCATTTGTCCCTAATAACATGTTTGGGGCATGATTCATGGCGGGCGGATTTAGTCAGTTGTGTCAGGAACTGGTGGTTTGAAATCCAGACTAATCCACGCCTGATTCATTTTCACAAACGTGAGTCTCTCCACACTTTGGGTGGACAGTCGTGTCCTCCGCGGAGTTACAATACCTCCTGCCGCACTAAACACGCGCTCCGATGCCACGCTACTGGCCGGGCATGACAGCCTTTCAAGGGCAAATTCAGCTAGTTGGGGCCAAAGGTCAAGTTTCGTTGCCCAGTAGTCAAGGGGATTGTCTACCTCGGTTGGCAGGGTGCTGTCCAAGTAGGCCCAAGCCTGTTGTTTGAGGTCCTGCTCCAGGTCCACCTGATGCTGCTGCTGCTGCGGCTGGTTAGTAGTTTCCTCACTGCGCTGGTGAAGAAAGCTACTCATCATCGACTGCAGACTGAGGCAGCCGCTGCTGGTGGAGCTGCCACTGCTCCTACCACCCCACCCCTCCCCTGCTGCCATGGCAGCGGAACGCGAGCGCACAGGGCCCACAGTGTCTGAGGATGGACGTTGGCGCAGAAAGGCAGAGACCAACTGACTACATAGGTGGTTTTTATAGTACTTTATTTTGGCCTCCCTCTCAGCAGGTGTGAAAAAGGCCACCATTTTTGAACGGTAGCGAGGGTCCAACAAGGTGGACAGCCAAAAGTCATCCCTCTGTCTGATGGTTATTATTCGGCTGTCGCTACGCAAGCAACCGAGCATGCTATGGGCCATTTGTGCCAAGGAATGCGCGAGGGACTCCTGCCTGCCTCCATCTCCACAGCATACTGCCACGGTGCGTCTGGGTCCTCTGTCTCCTCCTCCTCTCTCTACCAGATGCTCCTGCTCCTCCACTCCTGTCCGCTGAGTGGAAAAACCACCCATTTCACTCAATAATTCCTGAGCACCAATGTCCTCCTCTACCTCCTCCTCTTCTTCCTGTCCTGCCCCCACAGGGGTCATGTGGCGTTGAGATCTGTGCGCCACGTCTACCGCACCCTGACCAGCCATTGTTAACAGCATTTGTTCCAGGACGTGCAACAGAGGAATGACGTCGTTCATCCCATAGTCCTGCCGACTCACGAATAGCGTGGCCTCCTCAAAGGGCCTGAGCAAGCGGCAGGTGTCACGCATGAGCTGCCAATGGCTGACATCTAAGTTACACAGGGGAGTACCTTTATCCGCTTGTAACATCAGGAAATCGGTGATGGCCTTTCGCTGTTCGTAAAGGCGGTCTAACATATGTAGGGTTGAATTCCACCTTGTTGCAACGTCGCAGATCAGCGCGATGCTGTGGAATTCCGTTCTGCCGCTGCAGCTCAAGGAGGGTGTGCTTTGCGGTGTAGGAATGGCTGAAATGCATGCAAAGTTTACGTGACATTTTAAGGATGTCTTGCAGTGGGATGGTGGATTTTAGGAACCGCTTGACAACCAGATTGAACACGTGAGCCATGCATGGCGCATGGCACAACCTTCCTTGACGCAGAGCAGACACATGTTCTTTCCGTTGTCGGTCAACATGGTTCCGATTTTCAGTTTGCGCGGAGACAGCCATCTGTCGATTTCTCTGTTCATTACACTCAGAAGTTCCTCCCCTGTGTGACTACGTTCGCCAAGGCATACCAGGTGCAGCACAGCGTGACACCGTTGCGCCCTGCACATGTGATATGCCGGTCGGGTAATGGGACTTGGCACGGGGGTGGCGGCTGAGGACACGGCGGAAGAAGAGGTGGTAGAGGCGGACATCTTTGCTGGACCAAGGACGTGCAAACGTGGAGGCAAAAGCGGCGTGACCTGTCCAAGTTGCTGGTGCGGCTGTGCCGGCACCACGTTCACCCAGTGGGCCGTAAATGACATGTACTGTCCCTGACCGTAGTTACAGCTCCACACGTCGGCGCTGCCGTGCACTTTGGCAGAGACCGACATGCTCAAAGACTGGCCCACCATCTCTTCTACATGTGTGAATGCAGGGCTGGCACTGCCTTTTTGGCGAAGAAATGCCGGCTTGGCACTCTCCACCGCGGCTCGGCACAAGCCATCATTTCTCGGAAAGGTGCTGAGTCCACCACTTGGAAAGGGAGGGACTGCAGCACCAGCAACTTGGACAGGAGGACGTTCAGCTTCTGCACCGTCGGGTGCGTGCTCGCAAACTGTTGTCTCTTGGAAACGGATTCCAAGAAAGACTGCTGACGGAATCCGTGAAGAGGAGTAGCAGGAGAAGGAGCATCTGAACGAGCGGAAGATGCCAACGAGCGCGAGCGACAACTCCCCTCAGCAGAGGTGTTGGAGCCTTGACTGGCTGATAGAGGGCGATTGACGTCGGGTGACGGAGCAAGTAACGGAGCGGGTGATGGAGCGGGGGCTGGGGCAGGCAGAACCGCCGTATCTTTATCACGGTTTTCCCAGGCCACCGAATGGCGACGCTGCATATGCTGACGCAACGCTGTAGTCCCAACATTGGCCCCCTGGCCACGCTTGACTTTCTGGCCACATAGTCGACATACGGCTACGTTTACTTCCTCGGGCGGCTTGACGAAAAATTGCCACACCGCCGAGTAGGAAACTTTGCCCCCGCTACTCCTCACTGGCTGACTGCTACTTCCTCCGTGCACACCGGCACCACTACTGGCCGTGGTGGTAGGCTGCAGTGGAGCTGGTGCTCTACTCCGTGGCCGTTTGGCTCCACTGACACTGCTGCGACCCTGCTGCCTCCTGGGCAACCCACCGACTGTTTTGCTCGCTGGCAAGCTGGCACCCTCTTCTCCTGATGATGCGGAAGCAATAGCCTGATGACGACGAGGCTGCCAAGTGCGATCAGCCTCATCATCATCAATTAGGGTCTCCGCGTCACTACTAGCCCCCTCGGCTGCGTGTGGGTCAGGAGACAGACCTGTCTCTAGACCGGCTACCGAGCCACTCTCCTCGCCCAGTACTTCTTCGCCTGGCTGCTGAAGAGGCGGATGTCTCCCCCCGTTCCTGACCGCCCTCTGTTAGCTCTTCCTCACTGTACAGTGGGGCTGAGCCCACAGCATGCGATACTTCGCTTGGTGAGGGAACACCAAAGGACAGGGGCAGGTCGAGGACACGTGATTTCAGTGGGCTTGCTCCCGGGCCATGCCAACTAACGGTTGTGTCTGACGTACCCACCGACCGTTGGCTGTAGGTGTCAGAGGTGACCTGGGAAGAGGAAGACGACCGAGAGTCAACCAATCGATGACGGCAGGGTTGTCGGTGGAGACACGACCGCTGGATGACCCGGGAGCACTGGCCTCTGGCTGCGACTAGTGCTGCCTCGACCCCTTCCTCTGCTGCCACGTCTGCTCGCTCCTGAAACATTGCCTCCTCTGCCACTCCTCTGCGTGTTGTCTGACATACTCTTTAATTCAATAAGCACCCCAAAAATAAAACCGGATTTAACTCTTTGAACGTACAATAGTGGTTGTGAAGCAGAAAGTCAGTTTATTTAGCACAATCGGTCAATTGCAGCTTGCCGTTGGCTGTAAACTGTACGTTTATGTCACTGGAATGCACTAATCACCCAAAAAATATTACCGCCCCCCGGCGTG